ACGGGAAGTATTGAGAAAATGTATAGGATAGGAGTACTTATTTGTATGTAAGTATGAAAAATTGATATACGTAGGTACATGTACAGGATAGACTCTCTAGGTATATACAAATTATAGAAAAGTAGAAGTATTTTAGCTACAAGAGATAGATAGGCATACAGGTATAGATAGGTAAAGAGAGTAATTAGTGAGGTCTTGGGTCCGGTCTCTGGCCATGCGACGAGAGTTTTTAATCCCTTAATTACTCCTTAGAAAAAGGTCTGTTACTGAGAAAATTTTATGGAAGTATTTGGGAAAAACCATTAAGCTTCTTACAACAAACTTATACCTATTTTTAATCTTATAACAATATATTTTATTAGGGTCTCGCCAGCTGCAAATGTGAATTTTATTATATTGCACCAAAATTACAATAAACTAAAATTTCCCAAAGAAAATGCTTTTGCTGCAGACGAGACTTATCAGTTGTTTGGCATCACCAAGTAAATTATAATCTAGTATAATTTATGGTGATGAGACACAACTGAAACTTTTTAAACAAAATTTTAATACCGTTATAGAAAAATCTACAACTTAAGTAATTCCTATATTTATTACCTATTACTAATAAATAATAATAATAATTATTAACTAAATAATTATATGCTAATAATAATAATTAAACGATGTTAATAAATATAAATAATAACTAAATAATATTAATATTCATAAATGATAATGAATTAATATAATATTAATACTTATAAATAATAATTAAATTAAATTAAATTACAAAAGAGTGGTGGAAGATATGACCCCCACAAATAAAAGAATGGTAGCGAGAAAGAGAAGGCAAATCAAACCCAGGTATTTGTAAGGGAGTTGAAATTATAAGAGTAGGGGATCTCGCATATAAGAGAATATGATGGAGAGTTGTCTTCAGTATATATTACAAAACAACAACGTTCTTCCTCTCACTTTTTATATTAGATTATGACTTTAATTTGTACATAAAAAGTTACTTCCACAACAATGTCTTAGTCTATGTTCTTAATATTTACTCTAATAAATTTTGTTTTAATTAATAACTATTTTATTATCGTTACCATTAGTGACAACTATTATATTGTAACAATATAATTATCAGTATTGAATATAATAATTAAAAATTGTGCTTAACCAAATTTTGTGATACTAGATAAATAAAAGTGAAATTACAAAATGAAGATTGTTTACACTCTTATTTTTTTGGGATTCGTTTGGGAATCTACGTGTCAAGATCCTAGAGTGCTTCGCGTACGTCAAACAAATCCAGGTGACAATGAGCCAAATTTTGTTACACGTGAGTACATCATTTTATTAATTAAGTTGATATTAACAAAGACAGTTTTTATAAAAACATTCTGAAACAAAAAATTTGTTAATTTTCAAAATTTACTCACACTAATGTATAGAATAAACTTTCAAGTATTATTTTACTCTTCTGATAAACTGTGTTTTGTTTTGATTGCCCGCACCGGTTAGTTAAAATTGAAAAAAGTTATTACGTTGAATTGAAAAATTTTTTTTGATGTAAAATTATTTTCGTCGCAATATATTTTTTTTTTATAATATAAAAAATTAATAGAAAAGAAAATTTCGGGGCCAATTTAGATTAATGTTTTTATCATATTGAAATGAGCCAACATTTAATCATTTTTGAGTGTGTTTGATAAAGATTAATTTATTCATTGAAAACTTTTAATTGTCTGCTAACTTCAACATCAGAAATTTTTAATGTAAAATGAAAACCATATTCTCTTGAATAATTGAAAACTAAAAAAAGTTTTATGGGTCAAGAATTTAAAATAATTTTTTTGTCAACTAACAAAAAATATTCCTTGACGAAAAAATTGTCACTCATTTCCGTTGTAATGAATCAGTGAAAGATTTCTGGTTGAACTTTATTTAAATAAACTTAAAAAATTATTGAAAAAAGAATTTACGATTATAGGATTTTTTCGATTATGGAAAAAAAAACATGTGTTCAACCTGATTTTATCCCAAATTTTTTTTAACTTTTTAGTAATAAATAAAAAAATTTTTTTGATAAAAGTAAACTAACCTACTTGCAAATAATCAATAAAATGTTTTATAATATCAATAAAACTGGTTGATTCGCGTAATTGTATAATAGTTATGAACGATACGTAACATTACTTAAGACATTACTTGTAATACATTTGTATAGGTGTATGTATATATTGACAATAGAGTTGTCGATGGTTGAAAAGTGATGAACCGAGGAGAGCAATGAACAAGTTATAATGGCACGTGTGGTGCAACACCAATGTTCGGCGTGGCGAAGGTTATGTCAGAGTTTTACGTAATAGTACCGACGGAACTTGTTGGAGAAAGTCGGTTGGACTTGAAGTTTCAGAAGTATTACCGTATAACTCGCAACTACCACAACAAACTCATGGCTTCGCATTCCGAAGAGATTGAATAAAGAAAGTTTTATGAGGATATTTAAGTTACTAATTTTTTTCATATCTATGACAAATTTTACGTTGACTTTTTTTCACGCTGATACTCCGTTAGCAGGTTACCGCAGACCATCAATTAGTAGTCTTTACGGTTTATGTAACAGGGGTTTAATGAAAAAAAAAAAAAAAAAATTAATCTGGTTGATTTGGATTGTAATAGAGTATTACGTTGGAGGCATTAAAAAATTTTTTGGTGATGATCGACTTAATAGAACCGGAAGTGAAAGCAATTGCGTAAATTCCGTAGAAATAGGGAAATAAAGTTTAATTTAATAAATCAGTCTAACGGAAGAGTCGTTAACTATTCTCAGAATGTGCTTATTGGTTTACTTCATAATTATTGTATTATTTGCATGAGTTTTTGTATTTATTACTTATCAACACACATTATTATTCGATTGCTACCATGTTTGCTTTTTACTTCTAGCTGAATACATCCTGCCATGTAGCAGAAGTGACCCGCAGATTGAGGTTTGCATTCAGAAGGCATTTAATCACTTGAAACCGTACTTAGTTAAAGGTAAGCCAAAACAAAAATAAAAGTCTAACTTCAATGTAGATGTTGATACTTTTTATTAACACAGGTATAGTTTAACTTAGAAAAATATATTTGCTATCTATTTAATAACTAATTGTAAGATTGAAATTAATTTCTTTAGATTAAGAGGTAAATTTTCATTTTATGTTAAAAAAAAAAAATTTTATAAATTTTTTTTTTTAAGAAATACAATAATTAACTAGATCAATTGATTTATTTCTGGCCAGACGAAGAAAATTAATTAGTGATTTAATAAGCTGAATTGTTGAAAGAAGTTTAGAAGTTTAGCGCGCGTGTGAATGTTGGTATGGAATTATCTATATTTTCATGCTTATGATATATTTGACCAATCACGTTACGAATAGTTTGCTTTTACATGATATATTTTCATATTTTTTCATCTAAGTTATAAGAGTGGATGAAACATTGCAGACGTGTTAATGATATATTTTATAAAAAATCTTAGTTTTTGAAATTTTATCGTTAACTAACCTTATTTTATGCTTAAATAAGGAAATTTTTATTGATGAATGTGTTTTCAAAAATTTGTATTTTTTCTAATTGAATGCATGCATTAAAAAATGAATTATGCAAGAAATGTACTTGACGTGTTTGGGAAAAAATATGAATAGTATATTTAAACAAAAAATTCAAATAATCCATGATTTGATTAATTAAAAAAGTAAAATGGAAATTTGTTATATAAAATTTCTAAACTTTGCAGGTATCCCGGAATTGGAATTGCCACCAATTGAACCTTTAGTAATTCCGCAACTAGGGATGGAAAATGGCCAGGGGGCAGTTCGGGTTAGAGCGCTATTCACCAACATAACAACATTAGGATCCGGGAATTATACTGTCAGCAAAGTGCGCGCTGATTTGCGCAACCTGAGAGTCGATTTGCAGCTCAGTATCCCAAAAATAGAGATAAAAGGAAACTATGACGTAAACGGAAAAGTTCTTCTCTTCCCGATCCAGAGTCACGGCGACTTTTGGGCTCTCTTTGGTGAGATTTCGTCTTAGCCTCTAAGCTGAATTCATTTAATTAATGTAATTGAATTTAATCCCGGACAGGTAATGTTGAGGCAATCGCAAGAGTTCAGGGAGTCGAAGAACTGAAAAATGGAGTCAGGTACATGAGTTTTAATTGGTTGAGTTATTACTATAGATATGTTTTTGAAAAAAAGTGAATTCTATTTTTTTATAGTTTTCTTTCTTTTTAATACCAACTATAAAAATTTAAGTTTTGAGCTATGACTGGCGAGTGTAAAATATGCCCTTTTAACGAGCAATGGTTAAGATAAAAATAAATAAAAAATGTTTTTCATAAAAAATTCTTGTCTATTTGGTTCTCATATGAGAAAAAAAATATTTCAACTCAATTTATTCGTAGAGAAGAAAAAAATTTTTTTTTTTCCATATGATCGCTCTATAAAAGTTTGCAGTGTAAGTTTTAATTCGATTCTAAGCTTTATAATTATGCCAAACTTTACATTCCTTTAAAATCTGGTTGATCACAGAATAGAAACTATCTATTTTTACAATACTCTATACAATTTACTATTCTGAACTGACATATATGAAATTTTAATTCGCACTAGTGTGTTCACAGCGCGCTAGAAATACCGATATATTCGATTTATCTATAGAGAGATATGTATTGTGCTATATAATTGAAATATCATCATATTTTTATTAGTTGAATAAACAAATTTATTCATCGTAAAAAATATTAAACTGTTTTTATTGTTCATAAAACTATAAATAAATCATATCGTGTGATATAAGTAATATATTTATAAGATATATCTCACATAACAATAAACTGCAACCATTAAACTCAAACGTCATTCACGAATATTTAAAATCATGCAATAAATATACATTTTTCTTATCTTTATTCGAATTCCCTATTGACGAAGCCAATAAATATTTTTTAAAATTTATCGACCCTACATACCTTGTTAATTTAACACTTTGAAAATTTTGATAGAATTATAATAATATACCTTCATAAAATATAAATAAATCAAGAAGTACTTTCAACTTACTCATGACACAACCATTTATTCAACTCATGAATGTTTAAAATTTTTGATTTTCCAAATGTTGATATTTTTTCGCTGTCCAAACGTTATTACACCTAACATAAAAATGAACGGAAATGTTATGAAACTAAAAAAATAATAAATGAAATGAATAAAATAACTAACAGTTTTTTTACCAATTCTAATTTCTTTATGAATGATAACCACTCGAACAAAAAAAAATTTGGGACAAAACGAAATAGTGAGATCAATTCTTGTGGCATTTAACCACCAAGCACAGTTTGGTGTTTCGTGATTTGATTTTTTTCGAACAAATCTGTCCTCGTTTACTGTAGTTGTAATGGGAAAAAATAAAAAAAAAAAATCTGAAAAACGGTTGACCCTAAAGGCCATCCCTGCAACTTCCCGCCAATTCCATACCTAAACGCTTGAAATTGCACTTATGACGTTTCTCAGCTCTTCGAGCTCAAAAATACAATTTGTGTGTTATTTTGGGCTCTCCGAGCTCAAAGAAATAGCTTTTGTATGCTTTTGAGCTCTTCGAGCTGATAGAAGTTTAATAAAACAGTATTTTTTGAATTTTCAAACTGGAATAATTTCTAAATGAATGAATCGATTTTCACGCAGTTGGCAGTATTCCACGCACTTTTTTAGAATCGATGTTAAACTTTTGAACACAAACTGATCAAACCGAAAATCTTAGAGAAATTTTAAAAATTCAGTTTTTCCGAATTTTTTCGACAACGATAACTCACGAACCAATCAACCAATTTTCACGTTCTTGGTGGCGATCGACGTGATTTTTAAGGCTCTAATAATTATTTTATTTCGTCAAAAATGATCCAAAAAGAAATCTCGAAGTTTTTTTTTTTTTTTTTTTATTTTGTTTAAAGTCGCATAAACTACTAAGGTCATGAGCGACTACGGTAGGGGGTAAACTTTTGAGATTGGAACTCGTTTGTATTTCTTGGGTCTGAGCAGAATAATACACTTAATATTGAAATATTCATTGGTGTACGCCGGATTCGAACCCGGTCCAATGCTTTGATAGCAAGGGTCCGGATCCGATAGGCTACTGTGCGCCTACTGATAGTTTATAAAGTCTACTATCAGGTTTTTTTTTTTTTTTTATTTGTTTAAAGTCGCATAAACTACTAAGGTCATGAGCGACTACGGTAGGGGGTAAACTTTTGAGATTGGAACTCGTTTGTATTTCTTGGGCTGAGCAGAATAATACACTTAAATATTGAAAATATTCATTGGTGTACGCCGGATTCGAACCCGGTCCAATGCTTTGATAGCAAGGGCCGGATCCGATAGGCTACTGTGCGCCTACAAATCTCGAAGTTATAACTTATATGTGAAAAAAAAAACACTTTTTTCGAAATTTTTCATTTCCGATAACTCTCGAACGAATTAACCGATTTTGATGGGACTGGTGGCAATCGACGTGGTTTTTCAAGCTTAAGAGCTGATTAGTTTTTGGAATTCATCGGTGAAGCCGTTTAGAAGTTATTCCAAAAAAACGATTTTTTTTTAATTTTCTTTTTGAGATTTCTCAAAATCTAGCGAACCGAATCGATTCAAATTTTCACGAAGTTTAATGGCAATGATACTCTTTGGATGACCACCTATTTCGATCTGATGAAAACTCGATTTTCGCAAAACGCGGTAAAACCAATAACTTCCCAATTTTTGAAAATTTTCAATTTTCTGAGCGGGAAGTTAAAAATAAAAATGAATCATGGAGGAATAGTCCAAAAAAAATTGCTATAATTTTCATGTTTTTCTGGTCTTTTCTTTTAAACCTCTATTAAAAATTTTTTTTCTAATTGAAATTCAATTTCTGATGATTTTGAATTTCGTAGAAATAAAATTTAGCGTACTGATAATCATAACAAACTTTTTATTAACATTCTCAATAAGTATATAATTATTATTTTATAAAAAAATTGTATTAAAACAATTAAAAGCTTTGAAAATCTGAAATACATAGACGGTATAGTTAGTTATAGAAGTTCGCTCGGTTTAATAAATTACTAAAGAAATTATTAACGGTCTTGATGAAAGGAGTTATTGAGAGGTTAATAAATGAGTAAGAAATAAATTGCAAGAAAGGAGAAATATTAACAAAGCTGACCTTATTGAGTAACATGTGCAGAAGAACGTGTTACTGAACATGTCTTCATGGCCGTAGGATACTTGCACACTCTACTTCCCAATCGCTTACACTCGTCGTTTCACATCCTCAAAGTGAAAGAGGATGTGCCTGCGTACGGCAAAGCCCTTACTTTATACAAAATTATCACAGATTGCCACTCAACCGCGCTAAAAAACTCTTTGAGATAAAAATATTTTTACCCTCTCTTTATTTAGCGGTAAAAGTAAAATTATACAATAATAACAATCATAAATAAATATTACCCTTTTTTATACTCTCTTCTATTTTTTTTAAACGAAAATAAATAGTTTTTTTGTGATGCTGCCTGACTGTTTGCTTAAATTGAATTAAAAAATATATAATTTCATTTTTTAGTTGTCAACAATAGAAGGATAATTTTTCTTTTATGCTAAAGCAACTTGGAGCATTAAAAATAATTAAGAACACTCTCAAATATTAAAAAGTAATTCCTATAAATTTGTGAAGCAGAAATGTCTGTCTTTTCTGTCGAAGGTACGATTTATTATCTTTTTTTTTACAAATCTGGGTGGAAAATTGCATCATTGTATACTTGGATTATTGACATTGATTTATATTTTAATACTATGATCTTTTTTATTTCACACAACTTTGTATCAAGATTCAAAACGTTTTTTGAAGTATTTCGTTTTTAATTTTTCATAAACTTTTTCGATCAAATTGAGTAAATACAATATATGTATTCAGACCACGATATGCACATATATATTTTTTGAGTAACTAAAAGAATATTTTCAATTCAAATGAATGCCACTAATTTAATTGATATGTAATAGGTTCGGGAATAGAAGTTATACACAACACGTAAAGTTTTGTCCTACAGGTGAAATGTTTGTTCATTGATTTAAACTCAAGTGACGCTAAGCACTCACAGATAGACTTTGACTAATACAAACATCGATTAATGACATGGTAATCTTCCTTTACTGGGCTGTATTGATGTCTTGCACTAAAAAAGTTAGTGCCAGAAAGTTACATACATGGAAAAAAAAAATTGAATGAAAAATTACAATGGTCACATCGTAATCCAGGACAAGACTTTCAATATCTTCACTTTCAAAATTTTACATTTCTAAATTTACGATTTTACACCTTAAAAATGGGTATAAAAGTAGTCATTAAACAAAATTTTGCAATGTAACCGCGTAAATTTTAAATATTAAGTTATGAAAGTGAAGATATTGAAAGTCGCGTCCTGGATTACAATGTGACATTTGTAATTTTTCCTACAATTTTTTTCCGTGTACAGCAATTTCTTGTAGACGGAAAGAATTTTCTAGTACTATCAATAATTTTTGGATTTTCGTTTTTATGATTGACTAGCTGTTACCCACCCGCTCCGCTAGGTGCTTTAAAGAATTATATTTTTAGATCTAGACTTGATATTTAATTAAAGTATTGTTTTGACTTCCAGAGATTCCAAATTCCATCGAATTGGCCTGTACCTTTTATCCATGTAATTATTCTAGCTAATATTCAATGTAACTTTCAATGAGCAATCATTATAACATTCCCGTGACTTTCTTACAAAAATAAATAATAATTGACACGAAGAAAAAAATTTGAAATTAGCATTGAAAGTTTCAGTCAAAGTAGTTACAGGTCTCATAAGTGAAGTTAAAATCTGCCTAGCTTAAAGTGCGACGAATTTTACTGTTAATTAAAATTTTCTGCGTGGGGTCAATTTTTTTTACATAAAATTTTGTATAGAAAATTAATTGTACATGATCTTTGCGAATTCTATTAAAATAAGTAGCTAAATTTCTATTTCACATATCAAGTTTTTGAAAAATGCATTCATTTTAATTTGTCACTTTTCCGCAATCCCGTAATAAGAACAATTAATTGGTTATGTGATCAGCAAAAATAACATAAATATAAAATTCTTAGTCCGTTGACTGAATAACTACATGTAATGTTAAGTTTTGTAAACCTTACAATGACTTTTTCCCCGCTGCCAAAGAAAAGATTGTTGTAAGGAAATTTTTATGAAATGTTATTGAAGTTAATCGATATGTCCTAAATTTCATGTCTCAAGAAGTCCTAGTTAATAAACGAAAACATTTTTTTACATTCGACTCACCACTCTGGCACAGCCTATATATGAAGTCAATTATCACAAAATTCGTTTTTAGTTGAAATCTAATCATTGAGAAAAAAAGATATTTAAATCGGTTGACCTTGGAGGCCAACCCTCTAATTTTCTGTTTCTCTTGAGATTCTTTCAAATTTTATATCTGAATCGTTGATTTGAGAAACTCCATAAGTCATATGAAAATCCCATATGACTTATGGGTTTTCTCAAGTAAACGATTCATCTGTAGAAACTGTATTTGAAAAATATGAATTTTTTGACAATTAATACCCCCGTACTCTTATGTGGGGGAGGAATTTCGTAAGATTCGAGATGATTTCTACTTTATAAATAAAAGATTCCTACTAAACTTCGAGTCCATAGAAACTGATGTTTGGAAATGATAGGTTTTCATTGCTAACGCCCCCACAATCCCTTTTGGAGCTAGAATTTGATAAAATCCATTCTTAGCTGAACTTAACATCATACACGAAGGTTTCTACCAAATTTAGAGTCTGTAGAAGTTACAGTTTAGAAACGGAAATTTAACATATTAACATCCACCCCCGCAATTCTTATTGAGGGTGGGTTGTAGTAAAATCCGCTCTTAGATCACTTCCGCAACACATATGGAAAACTCAACTAAATTTGCCTTCTGTAGGATCAATCTATAATTTGAAAATTGCAAATTTTTATTGTTAATATCCACCCCTGCAACCCCCTGTGGAGTGAGCTATCGTAAAATTCGTTTATAGATTATTTCTATATTTCTTACAGGAGATTTCTACCAAATTTGAGGTCTATATAGGAGCTATAGTTTGAAAACGGGAATTATTCATTGTTAACGCTCCCGCAATCCCCTATGGGGGAGGATTTTTTTGAAATTTTTTTACATATAAACATTCTCCTGACAATGTTGAAGACAACAAAAATAAATTAGCCCAATCGGTTCAGCCGTTCTCGAGTGATGCATGGACATACATGTGGCATTCTATTTTCATTTATATAGATAACAGAAGAAAGACAAAAATTTTACAAATTTTTAACACCCCCACAATCTCCTCTGGGGCTGAAATTTTTCGAAATCTGATAGTAGAAAACCTTTATTCAACAAATACGAAATTTTTATTAAATTATAAGTCTGTGGGAGTTCTAGTTTAAAATTTTTATTTTTTTTCATTAGCGCCCCTGTAACCGATTTTGGGATTCAAACTTCATTTAATATATTTTTGTTTGTTCTCCACCTAGCCCAAAAAAAATTCTCTTTAAATTTCATGTCTAAAAAAGTTAAAATTCAAAATTTAGTTTTTTATGATTTTTTTAATCATATAAACGCCCCCGCTATACACTTCGGAGATTCAACATGGATAAAAAAGTTAGCCTATCCATTAAGTCAATGTATCCTCTACATGGATGCGAAATTTCAATTCAATCGGATGTATATAGTTTAATAGTTTTAACGGAACAACCGTAAAAAACTCTATAGATTTATATATTAGTATAGATATAGATATAGATATGATAATTCTTACACTAATGTTGTCGTAAGACTTACCATCTAGACGGTTACATTTACCATCGAACGTAGTTAAATCTATATCATTTATATATTAAAAACCATTATACAATATTTATAAATATTGAACTCTTTCAACTAAGAACTCTGAAAATTAAATTATGAAACACCTTTTCACTTGAAGTAATTTATTCTCATTAGAAATTTCATTTATACAGATTAGTAAATGGATACTACATTTTTAAGAAATAACAAAAAAATAGATTCTTTTACTATATACACGAAAAGAAAAATATGGAAATCATTCCTATAATTTTAATGAAATGTTTTCCTATCCCATTTTAGGAGCGATTACTTAAATTATAGGAATTGTACCCATAATTTTTGCGACAATTATAGGAACGATACCTATAATTGTAATAACTGTAATATCGGCATGATTCCCATAATATATAGGAACCATTCCCATAATTATATAGTAACATTTCCCAAAAATTATGGGTACAATTCTCATAATTTAAGTAATCGCTCCTAAAATGGTATAGGAACCATTCCCATAATATTATAGTGATGATGCCTAATGATAGTGAGATATTTATCATTACAACTCAAGTTATTTGTGACTTCGATGATCACTTTGAAGCATTTGAAATTATTAGTAATTTCGATAATTTTACTTGCTTCCCAATAAAATCATTTGAAATATGTAAAATAAGTAATATTGTTCATATGAATAATAAAAGTTACATACCCAAAAGGTGGATTTAATAAATAAAGATTCAACGTATGTATTGTAAATAAATAATTTGTTTTAAAAATAAAATGAAATTGTAAAAATAAACAATGAATTTCCATATCTATCTTGCTCCTCTAAATGTATAGTGAGAAAATATCCCTTTTATCAGAGAAACTTTAGAATTGCTACAGTAATTTTCAATATTATCTAAGACAATAATAACTGAGTTGGAATAAACAATTTAAGATTAAGTAAACACGTGAATAAAAATTATGAAAAAGAAATTTTTTTACTCTAGTGAAAGATCAATTTTTATTTACAAAAAAAAAATTTATTAGCAAAAAAATATATAATAATTACTTTATATGTTTGATGTGATTGTTCCATTATTATGAACATAAACATTTTTTTATCATTATGTGCGTCATTCCCATAATATTCATAGGAACCATTCATATAATATTATAGGATCCATTCCTATAATATTATAGGAACCATTTCTTTAATAATATAGTATAGGATTGATTCCTATAATGATCATTATTATTATTATTATTATTATTATTATTATTATTATTATTATAGGAATCATTCCCATAATTTTTGGAAAGGTTCCTATAAATTTCTCTCCTTGTAGACATCTTTTTATTGGGTTTTGAACATTCTATTTCTTGAATTATTTTAATATTTTTTTAGTTTCTATTTAATTTACTGATTCGTGTATGTAAGATTTTTAATAAGCAAATTATTTCAAATGAAAATGAACTATATATTTCAAATTTCAATACTTAATTCAGAAAATTTAATATTTACAATCATTAATTATTGCATAACGGTTCTTAATATGTGGGCATCAGATTTAACTATATTCGATGATAAATGTAACCATCTGGATGGAAAACGATACCAATGAGTTAATGAAAGAATTATCATCACATAATAAATTGAAAAAAAAAAAAAAATTTATTTTAAATAAAAAGTCCATATTGTCATATTTTTTTTTCGAAAATTACATTTCACGACGGAAAAAAATTATCCTCCGAAAAATTTTTTGAGAAAATAACAATTAAGTATTGTAATGTTTTTTAAATAAAAATGTTTTAAATATTTGAATTAGAAAATTTTGCGCTCATTTTTTTTGCTTGTTATACCATGCAACGTAGAAAGTATTTACAATTCAAAAACTAGCGCCTTACGACTCAATTATCATTAGAAGATTACTTTACCATCATAAATACATAAGCACTTAACGCCATCTACAGCTAGCATCTCTGCACTAATAACTTAATTTCGTATTGAAACATGTCAGATTTCTTGGTTGCCTACTTAACCTGCATTTTATCTGGAAGTGCTCTTCTCCCATCTTTTTTGCCTTTTTATCCGAGATAGCCTTACGGTATGTCGTTCTGGAATTTGTTCTTCTATTTAATGTATAAATTTGAAAATTAGCAATATAAATCGTAAATAAAAGTAATTAATAATAAGCTAAAATATAATTTGTGTATATTTAATATAATTCATACTCAAGTTTAATTAATAATACCCGATTCGATTGGATTTTAAAGTGATTTTTCATGTGGCGTGTTCAGTATTTATTTTTGTTATAAATGTGCAATTAAAGTTTTATGACAAAATATTATCAAAATTTTTTTCTTATAAGTCCTAATATTATTAATTAAAAAATAATGCTGTGATTTTTCCGATTTTTAATTTTCAACTATATTTTTATATCTAACCTCAAAATTATTACATTTTACTTTATATATGTAATCACATATATTTATATTTATAAATAGTATATAATTGCATCAAATGTATATTCTACTACCATACAATAGAATTAAATTTTTTTTATTTCATTGATTATAGCAATGGCTGACTCAGCAGTAACAAAACCCAAAGCCAAGGCTGCCCCTAAAGACAAGAAACCGAAGGAGAAGCCTTCGGAGCCCATTCCGTTGAAGAAAAGGCCCTTCAAAAGGCACGGACGACTTTACGCCAAAGCTATCTTTACTGGTTACAGACGGGGACTCCGTAACCAGCATGAACATACTGCTTTGTTGAAAGTTGAAGGAGCTAGAGTTAAAGTTGACTCTGACTTCTACGTCGGCAAACGATGTGTTTTTGTTTACAAGGTATTTTTTTATTTGAAATCTAATTTCTGACAGTTAATTTAATTATTCGTTATTAATAATAAAATATTTTAATACGTAGGCCAAGAACAAGACACCTGTTCCCGGTAAAACCACACGGAAAACTAAAGTCCGTGCTATCTGGGGCAAAGTAACTCGTCCTCATGGTACCAGTGGATCAGTACGTGCTAAGTTCAAGAGAAATTTACCAGCAACAGCCATGGGACGTCGTATCAGAATTGTAAGTCATTTTTTACATTTTTAAATCAATCTGTCAGTATTAAATCCTTAAAAGTATAATAAATAAGTATACTGAAAAGGAAATTTTTTATCAGCTTTATATAATTTTGCAAAGTAATAATAGTACGTGCGAAACTGAAATTTATCGTTACAGTCGTTGTTGAGTAACATTTTAGATTCTATATCTTGAAATTTTTTTTTTTTAAATCATGTAATGTCACCAATTATTAATAATACTTAATTTATGGTTTTTTTTTTCTTTCCAGATGTTGTACCCAAGCAGAGTGTGAAGATAATTTGTACGTTATAAATATTAACAATAAAATTCGATACTGATCTTAAATTCAAAGATTTTATTTTTTATTATGAACTTTTTCATTTAGTTACTTAAGTAATATTTGACACGATTTAATTGGAGTTAATTATTCAACAAATCATATTCAAGTGCAAATTAATGCAATGGTCTTATAATCATCGAATGAGTAATATCAATTCGTTAATTCAAATAATGGTAAAATTTTTATTAATATTTTAAGAGAACGAAATTAAAATGGTTTTATTTAGAAAGAAGACTTCGAGGAGGAAGCCTGAAATATATTTCTTTAAATTTTTTTTTGTTTGGAAAATTTGACGCATTACTCAGTAATTAATATATTATCCTTTTCATTATTGATATTAATTTTATAAAATAAGCTACGTTGAATTTGATAGTCGAGTAATATTAATTTTCAACAATAGTTAGCAATCAATTATACCTTCTGTCTATAACCGGGGAATCCTAGATGAACAATGTATGTTCCATTCTTAAAATTTCAATTAGTTATTCTACTCATAATAATCAACAGAAAACTCAAGAAAATTACCTCAGCAAATAATTGCTAATAAACTAGAACGATCAGTAATAATTTCTCATTTTTAAAATCAAAACAAGCCAGGCATCAATAATTATCAATGTAAGGCTTATGAATATTGTAAACAATCTTAATTAATTTAAAAATTATTACATAACTCACCGATCTACTGCTAAATCAATCATTTTCACGCCTGTTGTTTTTTTGAAAATTCGGAACACACTAACTTAAATTTAGAAAAAAAATTTTATACCATGGTATAGCTCTTCATGCTAAAGTTCTGATGAAAATTAAGTTAGCCGACAATTAAAAATTTTTAGAATTTTTTTTTATTGAAAAAATTATTACAAAAAAATTTTTAAAAAATGTCACTTGTAAAAAACTTCAAAAACTATAAGTGAAATTTTTTTGAAATATTTTTTCGTTTTAATTTAATTATTAAAAAAAATCAAATAATTAAAAACGTCGGCTAACTTTAGTATCATAAAATTCTGAACACTTTACTTTAATCACAAAAGTCAACTTCTTAAGAAAATAAAATAACTTACGCACTTTCTTGATTCACTGTCAGACTTACATTGAATCAATTTCTTTTTTTTAATATTAATAATAACAATTAACATTAATAATAGTACTATTTTTAACTTAATATTACACTTTCATTTAATAGTCAAGACCTTTTTTTTTTCCAATTTTTAAACAGTCCAAATTACCATTTATTAATTCCTTAATTGTATTTATTTATAGAAAGTGAGGTAATAAGAAAAATTATTAAAATTAGTTGGTCACAGTTTAAATGAGAATTATTAAATTCTGTCACTAAATACATTATTGAACAATTGAAACAATTTCTACGTACAACATTGTTTTATCGGTAATCTAAGTTTTGTAATTCTCAAAACTAAATTTTCGTTTTAATTAAAAAAACAAAACAATTTCTCCGTGATATTCGAAAAAAATAAATTCGATTAGTCCAAAACGATAATGAAAATATCAATTTCATCGTTTTTTATTTCAAGATAATTTTGTTGATAATGTGTCATTTATACAAAAAAAAATGTAAAATTTCTGACATGTTACGAACAAAAGAGGAGTGAACAGAAATTGATCATCACGAATTTTTTAAATGTAAATATAGAAGTTACTTTTTCAATCATTTAGTGATTAAATTTTTAAAAGTTCATGCAGAAACATACGTACATTTCTTTTACTTTTTTTATTACTATAACAGTTTCTTTTTGTTTTTGAAAACTAACTATTTTTCAGACTCTTTTATTATCAATATCATTCACTCAAATTAAGCATCAAACGCTTATTTTTATCACAAAAAACAATAGTTCATAAATATTTGACATAATTGATAGCATCACCTTAGAACACAAAACTTAATAACAAGTCACTTTTTTATTTTTAAATTTATCAAAAAACTAAACATTAAAAATATGTGAATTGTCAAATTGTATTTGTTAGCAGAGCAAAGTTAGCATAACTAATAACATTTGTTAATCGTTACTTCTACAAAATAAATAATAACAATAATAAATATTTGAACTTGATATTCGAGAACTTGACATGAGCGCCACGGAGAAAAAAAATTAAAAGAATAAAATGAACATATTTTTGTTTAAATTATTGTAACCATAAGTTAAATTTTAAAACATACATTACAACATAATACAAATGTATTATGTATTTGAGTGACAATTGTTAATAAATGATGCAAGATAATGATTAATGAAAAAAAAAAAAAAATATTGATTAACTGTCATTATTAGAAAACGCCATTTTTGTAGATGAGTTCTCTCCCATCTGAAATAAGTGACTATACACAACACACATACATACATTTGGATTTTCTATGATCTAAGTACTTATAAACAAAAATCTGTCAGAACATGAAATGTGTTGTTTGTTATCTTTCATTAATTATTTTTTATTAATAATCAAAATGTACATTTTTTATTGATATAACTTGACAAAATTTTAAACTTAACTTGACATAATTATTTAAAAAAAATAACATGATGTTTTGTTGCTTAAAAAATTGTTTCAACGGCCTTGGGTTTACCGGAGTAAAAGCTCCACAGAAAGAGTTTAATCCTATAACATTGGATACATCGCATATGGGTAAAAATTTATAATATACATATGTATTTTATTAATAAAAATAATCTATAATACAATGTTTAATTATCACAGGTCATGAAGTTGTCGTTGTAATGAATGGTTTAAGAGTTTGTGGACAAGGATGCGCACTTACAAATGTTCCACTGGTACAAAGTAAAAGCTATTTTGAAGTTAAAATAAGGCAAGACGGTATGTGGGCTGTCGGTTTAGCAACAAGATCCACTAATTTAAATACAACTGTCGGTGGCAATGATGCTGACAGTTGGGCATTCAATTCTGATGGTATTATTAGACACAATCAACAGGAGATTCATAAAATTACAAATCTTCCTCAAGAAGGCGATGTTATTGTAATTATAAATTAATTATTTTTTTTCTTTTAAATTTAACTACAAATTATAAAATAAATGTACCATCTAAGTATTTGTAATCAATGACCTTGAAGTCTTTAAACGTCTGGTATTTAAAGTTCTTAACTTTTAGAAAAATTGAGAATATCTAACAATAAATGATTCGGGATGAATGTTATGATTTTTTAGACGCTCTATATATTTTTAATCGTGATTATTAACTTGCTTAAAAACAAACCTAAAATTAAATGTCATAAATTACATTCATATATTTGGCATTGAGTTATCCAAACTCGGATGTACATTTATTGATAATACTTGTAATATTTTATAGTTAATTATATATTTAAAAATTTTACAGGGAGTGTCATTTGACCATATAGAACTTAATTTTTATATCAACGGAAAAAATATAAATGCACCAGTAATGGGAATTAAGAGTACAATATATCCTGCCCTATATGGTAATTATAACTTTAAATTAACATATTAAAGATTATACTAATATAATAAACATTGCATTAAAATTTCCATTTCATTAAATATACAAAAAGTAGCGATGAATTATTGATTTAAAGCCTACGCTACTAGTTGGCAATTATTTTTATTTTTATACCTCTGAATCAATAGTAATTTAATATTCGACCAACTGATATATGGCTGATTCTCTGTAAGGATGTCTTAAATCTGTACAAAATTATCCGACCAAATTATTTTTGATTTTATTAGAAAAAAAATTAACAAGGGCTACAAAACTATCAGCTTAATCATAATAAATAAACAGCCAATAATTTTGTTTTTTTCGTATATTTGTGTGTCTTTTGTCCATATAACATGACA